CTTATACAGGTTCTTAATGCCACCTATGCTGTTGTTCTGTAGCACATAACATCTCCTAACATCATCTCTAATGTGCGTCTTTATTATATATGTCATGTATAGATTTGTCTCAGATTAGAATGTGAATTCCCCAAGGGCAGAGATTTGTGTTTTGCTCATGGATACATCCCAGAGCCTAAAGTGGTGTCTTGGCATGTAGTAGAAGTTTAAAGTGTTCCGTAAATGATAAATAGATAAAGGAATAGTTTTCTTCAAGGTGAATCTAAAATAAAGGTCCTTACTTTGCTGTCTTCTGACCTAATACTATTTTCCCTCTCCTCTTGAGGGAGAAGCAAACTTGCTACAAATCTCACTCTTCAAGAGACACATCACCCCCGGTTTACTCTTTGTCACAGCTTAACAGTATCAACAGCATTTGCATGATACAGTCATTATTGTCTAAATAAGAATGCAGTTTATACATTAGTGAGAGATTTTTCAGTTAAACAATCTTTTAGTTTGCATAAGGAATTTGAAAATATCTTCAGGCTAGGCATGGTGGATCATGCCTATAATCCCAGAACTGTGGGAGGCTGAAGCAGGTAGATCACTTGAGCCCAGAAGTTTGAGACCATCTTGGACAATGCAGATCCTGTTTCTATTAAAAATAAAAAATTAGCCTGATGTGGTGGCATGTGCCTGTGGTCCCAGCTGCTGGAGGGTCAGAGGTGCGAGGATCAGTTGAGCCTGAGAGTTTGAGGCTGTAGTGAACTACGATTGTGCCGCTGTAGTCCAGGCTGGGAGACAGTGTGATACTTAAAAAAAAAGAAAAGAAAAAAAGTCTTCAAAAATGTTCTGGCGTAATCTGTGCCTAGCATTTTGTTCTCCAAGCTGAGTGGAATCATGCCTTTCATTGACATGTCAAATGGGAGCCTATTTTTAGTCTAAATGTAAGTCTTAAAGTATTGAGCAGAAATATCTTCCACATCCTATTGTTGCATTAAATCCCTACTAATATTTGAATGGTAATTTTGTTAATGCTTGTGTAAAAAGTTACTGTTTAAAAAAAACAAATGTGTAGTATTACTGAGTACATTTTCTTTTCATGGTATCTTTTCTCTGTTTATATTCAAGTTTTACGAGCAATATGATGATGACGAAATTGGAGCTCTGGATAATGCAGAATTGGAAGGTTCTATTCAAGTGGACAGCAATCGCTTACAGGAAGTTTTGAATGACTACTACAAAGAGAAGGCAGAGAAGTACAGTGACTTTTCTTTCCTTGTTTAGCTGCTCTTTAAAAAAAAACAACTCCAAAGAAAGGTTTATAGTATAACTGAATCGAGGAAAAAATCCACCCACTCAAAATTCATATTAAGAAAATGAAAAAGGGAAAAAGAAAAAGTGGTACATTTTCCATAAACTTTAGCTCATATATAGTTCATCTCTTTTGCCTACATTTTGGTTTTGGCGTTCTGAAGTAGAATGTAATAAGAATATGTGAGGAGCCATGTTCTTTGTATCTTTGACTTGAGAAGAGTTACGGTAGAATGTGTGTTCAGCTTTTTATTTTTTTTAATTTTTGAGACAGACTCTGGCTCTGTTGCCTGGGCTGGAGTGCAGTGGGGCAATCTTGGCTCACCGGCAACCTCCGCCTCCCAGGTTCAGGTGTTTCTTCTGCCTCAGCCTCCTGAGCAGCTGGGATTAAAGGTGCATGCTGCCACACCCAGCTAATTTTTTTATTAGTAGAAATGGGGTTCCAGCATGTTGGCCAGGCTGGTCTTGGAACTCTTGACCTCATGCAGTATGCCTGCCTTGGCCTCCCAAAGGCCTGAGATTATAGGCATAAGCCCCTGTGCCTGGCCCATTTTTTAAATTTTTTTAACTTTTATTTATTTTGCTTAAAAAGTTTTATTTATTTTGCTTAAAAGTTTTGATAGAAGAATGAGTATTATTAGAGTGTGAAATAATAAGGACAGGCTGGGCATGGTGGCACACACCTGTAATCTCAGCTACTTGGAAGGCTGAGGCAGGAGAATCGCTTGAACCTGGAAAGCACAGGTTGCAGTGAGCTGAGATAGCACCACTGTACTTTAGCCTGGGTGGCAGGGCAAGATTACATTTCAAAAAAAAAAAAAGAAAAAGAAATATAAGGACACATTCCACTTGGAAAATAAGATGGTGTTTCTAGTCTTTGGGGCTGAAGAATTAAGAATTATTCCAAATATATACTCTTTTCATCTTTCTGAAATGCCAGGTGTTCTGAGAAGTAGGTATTTATGTCTTGTGAAAAGATAAGAATTTGTTTCTCCAGCTGGATTAGCAGAACTGACCAGATGGTTATTTTGGCAAATCAGCATCCACATCAAGGTGACTCTTCTTTGAGAGAAACCGAGGAAGTGTTCAGATCTGCTTGAAAGGTCTGATGTTCCATGATCACTATAATATATAGATCCCATAGCAGGACAAGGAACTATATAGTTTGAGTAAAGTATTTGAATACTCTGGGGAGACAGATGAATTATGCTTTTTTAGGCTTTAAAAACCTGTTTTCTTAGGAAGCTGCCTTGAAAAGACACAGCTAGTGAATGTCCAGACTCACTGTGGGGAAGAGGCAGCGCTGGGTAGAACAGAGTTTGACAGAAGATGATAGAGGAGACACTGGACTATATGCATTTAAAACATTGGGTTTTTCCACAGCTGAAAATTGCAGTTTTAGTGACATGGTATAATAATAGGTCACTTTTCCCCCTTCTCGTTCTTCACTTTTAAAAACTCAACCAAAAGTTGTATAAAATTGAATACCCTTGAACCCTTGGAGGATCAAGACCTGCCAATGAATGAGCTTGATGAGTCTGAGGAGGAAGAGATGATTACCGTAGTCCTTGAAGAAGCCAAAGAGAAGTGGGATTGTGAATCTATTTGTAGTAAGTATATCCACTTTATGATAATAATTTTTAAAGTATTAAAGTGTATCAACTTTAGGCTGGGCACGGTGGCTCATGCCTATAATCCCAGTACTTTGGGAGGCCAAGGTGGGTGGATCACCTGATGTTAGGAGTTTGAGGACCAGCCTGACCAACCTAGTGAAACTCTTGTCTCTATTAAAAAATACAAAAAATTAGCTGGGCATGGTGGCGGGCACCTGTAATCCTAGCTACTCGGGAGGCTGAGGCAGGAGAATAGCTTGAACCCAAGAGGCAGAGGTTGCAGTGAGCCGAGATCCCACCAATGCACTCCAACTTGGGCAATAAGAGTGAAACTATGTCACATATATATATATAAACTTTATATTCTAGTACTAAGTTGTAAGCAATTAATAAAGCATCAATCAGTTAGACTCTGGTGTTATTTTGCACTATGAAAACACAAGGTCAGAAATAATAGTAGGAATTCACTAATGTTTTGTGGAACTGAAATGTGCTTATTGATACATGATTTTTATTTGTTTGTTTAGGTACATACTCAAATTTATATAACCATCCACAGCTTATCAAGTATCAACCAAAGGTAAGTCCTAGTGTGCTATTGGAAGGATGCAGTGCACATTTTTGCACGGTAACTTTTATCTTTGTGGCTAGCAGTGGTAGTAGGAAAAGCACCAACTGTGTGTCATTAATGAGCTATTTTTTAATAGGAATGAGAAATAACTCTAGTGCCATTTTATCCGTATTGCAGCCCAAACAAATTCGAATATCTTCTAAAACAGGAATACCTCTCAATGTCTTACCAAAGAAAGGGCTCACAGCAAAGCAAGCTGAACGAATGCAGATGATTAATGGCAGTGATCTTCCTAAAGTATCAACCCAGCCACGTTCTAAAAATGAGAGCAAAGAAGATAAAAGGGCAAGAAAGCAAGCGATAAAAGAAGAGCGCAAGGTAAAATGTATTTTTCAAATGTGAGATTTACAAAGAACTGGTGCCAGTAAAGTTAGAGGAATTTTGTAAAAGCAGTGTGTATCAGACTAAAGATATGAATAATACAAGTATGTTCTTGTACTTATAACAGGAACGAAGAGTGGAGAAGAAAGCTAACAAATTAGCATTTAAACTAGAGAAAAGAAGGCAAGAAAAAGAGCTGCTGAACTTGAAGAAGAATGTTGAGGGTCTAAAGCTATAGACAGTGGAGCACATAGGGTAAGGCACTTCATTAGGGGCTCTTCATTATAATTAACTAGAGTCTTCAGAAAGACAAAACTGCTTTGCCATTTTTACTGGCAGATAAGAGAAAAATACAATATTTGTATTATTTTTGTACTACCAAGTGTTCCCTGCCAACTGTCTTGTAAATACTGTAATATTTTAATTGTTAGTATTACAAGCTTACATCTGCTCTGAAATAGATGACTTCATGAATGTGAAATGTTTGGATAAATTAAAGGAAAATATCTGCATAACTTGAATTGGTGTATTCATTTATTTGTATGGTTGTCATAGTTGTTTTTTGCAGATGTTTTCAAATATTTCTTTGAATCATCTCCACGCCTTTTCAGGAATTATATGGTTTAATTTGCTGTAAGTAGAAGAGTGGCCTGGTTAAACTCAATTTTGAAGTGCTGAGTTTATTCTGTCTAATGTAAGATGAGTTTTTCTGAGAAAGTTTCACTGTTAGGAAGCTAAGTTTTCCCTTGCTGTATACAAAGGACTATTTCAAAAGGGTGGTAAAACTGAATATTAAGGTTCTTAAGACTCGTATTTCCTGTTATATTACTGGATGAGTTGCTTTTGGGATTTAGGAACAGTGAAGGCAGGAAACAGAATAGTCAAAGAAATAAGAAAACTTACTTGGCTTCAGTGAGTCCCTAGATCAAAATCAGAAATATTTATTTTAGTTTAAACTGGAGAGTTTGTCTTTTCAACATTATTTAATGTTTGGAACCATTCATACTTGATTAAAATACATAGTTGAAACCTTTCCCTGTTTTTGATGAGCTGATTTTTGTTTTAACTTATTTAAACTTTTTCAAGGTTTAGGCAATGACAGCATCACAATTGTTGATTATTTGGTAAACTGTGACTTCTTGCAACAGATTAGTGACCCTGGTTTATGTTCTTGGCTAGTGTGTTACCTGGACTAGGCTGTAAAAATCTGTGAACGCTGTTGCTCTGAGTTAGGAACAGAATGGCTGGGACAGAACCATTTTTGGCAGGTGAGCTGCATTTGATACTTGAATTATTAGAAAATACCTTCATCTGTAATTATTTGTTTATGGCTTTTCCAAAACTGGTAAGTATTAGCTTGTTCTACGATGTGTGATCCATTTAAATGTAAGCATTGTAGGATTTTTAGAGTTATAAAAACTGATGGCATCAGGTATTCTACCAACATTGGCTAGAAAAAAAATCTGAAGAGCTGGTCATTGCAGAAGTAGGATACTGGAGAGCATGTATTGAAATGCTAACCTGTGAAGTAAAGGGTCAGATGATGGTTTGTCAATACTGAGAATATAAATACTAAAAGGATTGGCCATTTATTTTGATAGCTGTCTCAACTGAAGATTCTCAAAAACAGCAAGAGTCTTAACAAACGCTGGATGTTACTTTGTCATGATGTTACTCAAATTCTGTCTTGTGAGGTGCTAATTTTACTTTACTGTGTTTAAATCCATATATTGTATGTTTTTCAATTAAGAGAAAAGGACTAGGCTGCAAGTCTTGATGAAGCGTATTGTGATTAAGGCTAATTATACTCCAAACTTAAATATTTCAATTTTATTCTGAAGAACAAATTCATAATACCTTAAATGAATTTTCTGATAATTTAGTTCTCTACAAATCTATAAATGATGATTGGGAACTGAACACAAAAGCTCCATGCTAAGTGTTGGGAGTCCAAGGATCAGAGGGTTTTGCTTTCAGGAGCCACATGGTCTGAGGAGGCAGCATAGGTGCAGTGAAGTGTAACTCAATGATACTGCCACTGTGGTAAGTACCACTTGTAATGAGAATCTGGGTACTTGCTCTTCCCCCAGAAGTGTTCTCACTGCAGGCAGACCTTCCTCATCGTTGGTGCTCAGCTGTCACTTTCACTATAGGCTATTCCCTGAGCTTGTATTTAAAAATAGCACACGCATCCCTCCCTGGCATCCTTGACCCACTCTCCCTGGTTTATGTTCTCCACAACATCCGTTGACACACAGGACTGTTTGTCAGTCTCCTCTCACAGGACAAACCCTGAAGACACAGTGTTTTGTTTATTGCTTTATCCGAGGCCTGGAATGGTACCTGGCATTTGGTATACATTCACATAGTAGTGTATGAATGAATGGATAGATGGGAAAGATTTCAGAAAAGAATTAAACATGGAGGGAACCATAGCAGGGCCTAGACTTACTGGGGTTAGTGGGGAGAGAAAGGCCTGAAAGATCCCAGCAGGGGGCAAAATCTTGAAGAATTTGTATCTTAAACCTATTTCGTTTAAGCACAGCCCATGACTAGTGTAAAACCACTTGGATATCGAAGTACCACAGTTGCTTCTTGACTCATGGTGGGATTATGCATTGATACACTCACCGTAAGCTGAAAACATGGTAAATCAAAAATGCATGTACTACACCTAACCTACTGAACATTAGAGCTCAGTCTAACCTACCTTAAACTTGCTCAGAACACGTCCTATTAGCTCACAGTTGTGCAAAATCATCTGGCAATACAGTACACTGTAGAGTATCAGTTTGCCCTCATGGTCATGTGGTTGACTGGGAGCAGTGGCTCACCACTGCTACCCAGCATCATGAAAGAGGATTGTACCACTTTCTACTGAATACATACTGCTTTTTCACCATCACAGAAAAATCATTAAGTTGAACCATCGTAAGTTGAGGACCATCTGTACTGTTATTTTACAAATCTAAGTATCTGAAATGCAGTTACTGCTTATTAGATTGCCTGTGATGCCCTTTATCTACACTTCCATTGTGATGTCATCAAGTCACCTCAGGTGAAAGAACTCTTAACTTCTTGTAACTTGACTGGTATATTTTCAATACTTTTTTTTAAAAAATGACTAAACAGATATTTAATACATTTTATTTTATTGTTTTTTACTTTTTATTGTATTTGGGCTCTGGGGTACATGTGCACATCCTGCATCCTGCAGGATTGTTGCATAGGTACATAAATGCCATGATGGTTTGCTGTCTCCATCCCCCGCTACTGTTACCTACATCAGGCATTTCTCCAGGTGTTGTCCCTCCCCCTCCTCCCCGCTCCTCCCCCTGCTGTGTCCCCTCCCCTCCCCCCACTGTCCCACCTAGTCCTGTAAGTGTTGTTCCCTTCCCTGTGCCCAAGTGTTCTCCTTATTTTCAATACTTTTATATTACTTCTCCATGTGGGTTGACATTGGTATGCTTTATCAGGCTTGTTCCAGTTAAAGGACACAGAAAGTAGAAATTCTAATGGCCTTGAATTTTAATTGTGAAACTTATAGGAGAATGTTTAAAGCAAATACAGGGCCACTATTTGAGTTAAGAAATAGAACATAGAAGTTACCTGTGGGCCCATTCTTGATTTCATTTCACTCTTCTCCCTCAAGTAATTCTTACATACTATCTGGCTATCATACAAGTTGAACATCTCTAATCCAAAACCCAAAATGTTGAGTGCCAATGTGACACAACAAATAGAAAATATGACGCATAAGTACTCAATACAAGCTTTGTTTGATGCACAAAATTATTTAAAATATTGTATACAGTTACCTTCAGGCTGTGTGTATAAGGTGATACAAGAAACAAAAACTTGTTCCAAAGTCTGAAAAAAATCTGAAATACTTTTGGTCCCAAGCATTTTGGGTAAGGGATACTCAATGTGCAATAAATATTTCCTTCTTTTTTAAAGCCACTTGTATAGTGTCCCTAAACACATCTTGTTTCATTTTGAACAACTGAAAAACACAAACCTAGCTTTTTGAGGGCAATATTTGCTACCAATTAGATGAAAGCATCCTAGGGAGGATGAACTGTGAACAGTCCCTGGGTCTGACTTATGCTTTAGAGTTTAAAGAGCCCCATGCTTAGATGTCAGTGAGCAAGGTGATGAGTGAGCTTTAGGGGACAAGTCACAGTTTGAGCATCCAGGATCTGCAGAAATATGCTTAGAGGATTGCATTCTTGTCTTATATTTTCTGCTTCTAAACTCACCCCTACCTCTAAAAGTCAATGCAGAACCTTCCTATGGGGTGAAATGAGTGTCTCCAACTGATTTAGAGATCAGGATACAAAATGGAGAGCAGGCACTTTATTGGAATATGGCCAAACATGCCAAGTATTGAACAAAATGGGAGCCAGACTTCCTTGGATATACTATCTTGAGATTACAAAGGCAGTAGATATCTTAGTCGTGATAGCCCTCAACAAGTCTCTCCCTAATCACACACCTCAAACCTCGGCTGGTTGCTCTGGTTCTGGTGCCCAGCTATCAAACTGGGAATTCCCTTCTCTCTATCCAGTATACAGTTTTCTTTTCCTATATCTTATGTACATGCTTGTGGATCACATCCTCCAGTAATTCCTAAAATGGGGTACAGGGGATGTAGGCTTTTTGAGAACTTGAATGTCTGGAAATATATTCTATTCTTACGTTGGATTGACAGCTTGACTGGATATAGAATTCTTGGTTGTAGATTATTTTACCTCCGAAGTTTAAAGGGTTTTCTCCATTTGTTTCCATTTCCAATTTTGCTTTTTGGGAAGCCATTCTGATTGCTGATCATTTATATCTGATTTTTCTTCAGAAGTCTGTAGAATCTGTCTTCACTGTTCTGAAACTTCCATTTTACTGGATCTTTTAAATCAGAAGGTATATTAGGATTATCTAGAGGGACAGAAGTAATAGGATAGATAGATATATATACAAAGAGGAATTTATTAAGTATTAACTCACACAATCACAAGGTCCCACAATAGGCCATCTGCAAGCTGAGGAGCAAGAAGAACCAGTACAGTGCCAAAACTGAAGAACTTGGAGTCTGATGTTTGAGGGCAGGAAGCATCCAGCATGGGAAAAAGATGGGAGGCCTGGCCAGTCTATTCTTTTTACATTTCTCTCTCTGCTTTATATTCTATCTGCAGTGGCAGCTGACTAAATGGTGCCCACCCAAATTAAGGATGGATCTGCTTTCCCCAGACCACTGAATCAAATGTTAATCTCCTTTGGCAACATCCTCATAGACACACCTCGGATCAATACTTTGCACCCTTCAATCCAATCAGGTTGACACTGAGTAGTAACCATCACAAGTCTATCTTTTGTCAACTTAAACCCATATACATCTCCTAAAATCACATATAATGTTCAAATAAAGGCAATAATAAGGTCATAATTACACCTAACATAATACAGCTATCCTTCATACAACCAGAAATGCACCAATCCCCAACCTCAATACTACTACATGAAGTTAACTACACTTAAATGCTGATGTGAAGTCACATGATGAAGGAAAGGAAAATGAAGATATCTTTTTAGTACAAGTGTATACATACACAAATGTTTTTAACAAAAGAAATACTCATGACAATTACTGTCCTCATTTCTGCAGCTGGTCATGTGGTGGTAGCTGGTATTGATGACTGCCTTCTTCTACTACCCATTCTGTATTCCCTTTGCCTTCAGCAAGCACCTTAGCAGGTTGTGGTTTTTTCCTAGTGGAGTGACCCAAACCTTCATTCCTGACGGATCTGGGCCATTTATAGTCCTGCCTGGATCGGGCTGTTGTAGCTTCCCATTGACCTTAATCACAGGGCATGATAATACTAAGAGACATCTTAATGGATATCCTGTATTCCATGGATACTTTTCCTTACCTCCGTTTTGGAATAGTAGACCATATGCGGCCTTCTGGAGAACTTTACCCCAGCCCTCCAAAGTATTGTCACCTAGTTGGTTTTGTACTTGTGACTTCAAAAGGCCATTCCACCATTCTATCAATCCAGTCGCTTCAGGATGATGGAAAATATGGTGAGACCAGTGAATTCCATGAGCATGAGCCCACTGCCACACTTCTTTAGCTGTAAAGTGAGTGCCTTGGTCAGAGGCAATGCTGTGGGAAATACCATGACAGTGGATAAGGCATTCCATGAGTCTACAGATGGTAGTCTTGGCAGAAGCATTGTGTGCAGATAGGCAAACACATATCCAAAGTAATTGC